ATGTGTGCAGGGAGGGAGCCTCACGTTCCCACACTCATGTGTTGACAGGTGGTCCTTAGCACCGACCCAGCCCCCAGCTGCAGGGCACCTAGTGCTGGGAAGTCTCCCAGAGGTCACGGTCTGCCTCCACGTTTCACAGATGAAGACCCCGAGGCCTAGGAAGCCGCCTAGCTGACGTCACATAGCTGGACTTGGAACTGGCATGCTATGCCTCCCCACCCGCTGCCTGAGGCTCTGGCCATCCTGCCAGCCTCCTGGATGATCAGGACAAAGCCTAACAGAGGCAGGTGGAAGGATAAGTCTGAGCATGGAGCTTCCAAAGAAGGCTGGTGGGGCTGCCAGGAGGGCTGGAGAGGGGGCAACATGAGGCAGTGGGTCTAAGGGAGAGGAGAGACTCGGACAAAGGGCTCGTAAGAGTTTTTGGAACCAAAGTCCTGGAAAGTCCTTATCTAACCTGCCTCATCCTATTGTCCATGTTTTTGCAGCCTGCTTACCCACACCCCTGGCCTGGCCGCAAACGGCTGCGTACAGAAGGCATCAGTCTGGGAGCTCATCCCTACTCTATTATTTAGGATGTGGGCTTTTTCCATTTCCTAATGGCTGCATGAGTTCCTGTCCTTGGAAGAATCCTGAAGTCTAAAATAGCCACCACCAACTCACCCCCTCTTCTGGGTCTCTGCTGCTTTAGACTGCTGCATGTTCTTCAGGTTCAATGTGCTTCTCACCTCTTGTAATTGTTATTCATTCATTCATTCATTTTCTTATGTACCATCTGCTCCCCCATTAGAAGAAAAGCTTGAGGGTTAGGACTTCATCTTTTCTAATATCTTTTACATATTAGATCATGCTAAATTGCTTCAGTTGTGTCTGATTCTTTGTGACCCTTTGGACTGTAGCCCATTAGTCTCCTCTGTCTATTGGATTCTCCAGGCAACAATACTGGAGTGGGTTGCCATGCCCTCCTCCAGGGGATCTTCCTAGCCCAGGGATCGAACTAGGGTCTCCTGCATCTCCTGCATTGGTAGGCAGGTTCTTTATCACTTGCACCATCTGGGAAGCTCTCATTTAACAATCATTTGTATCTTTATTTGTTGAGACCACAATATGGGTGAGTACAATCTATGGGTGAGTAAAACAGCTATCAGTTTTATGGCCTAGCACTTGAACAATCTGCATTACTATTTCATATGTTTTGGGAGGAAAAGACATTTTCTCCTACAGTTGGGTGCCAGGCTCTACACAGGTCCATTTGGTCAGGGTCACTATTTGTGCTGATTCAATCTGCATCCATTCCTTTTTCTGAATCGGTGATTATTTATTTCTTCTTCTATTCCACTTTTAGCCTCTAGCTGTATGAAAGTTAAAGGCTTTGGTCTATTCTTTAGTGTTTACTTTTCCAGTTAAATAAGATAAGGACCTCATATCTCTTTAACTGTGGTCAAGGTTTTTCCAGCTTACATGATGCTCTTCTGTAATACATTAGCTTTTCTGGTCTAGATTTCCACACAAACTAGACATTATTTTTATAGTTTTACATGGTCATTACTTAGGTTTACCTACATCTTTACTGTTTATTTCTACTTGTAGCTCAGAATGTACACCTTGAATGATTTTCCTTCTTCTTAAAATAATCTTTTGAAATTTGCTAAGGTCTTTCCATGGGGAGTTCCACCAGATATGGTTTGTCTGTACAAGTCTTTATTGTGGCTTCATTCTTAAAAGGTAGTTTTGCAGCACAGTAATGTAGATTGACGAGTTTTCTCTAAGTACATTGAAGATACAGATCCTTTGTCCAGGAATTTCCACCAGCGCCAGTGAGAAACAGCTATCTGTCTCATCACCAGTCCTCTGTGGATAATCTGGTTTGTCTCACTGGCTGCTCTGTGAAAACCTTCTTTTTTCCTTTGGTATTCTGCGGTCTGCCTATGGAGAGGTCACAGTATACACTTCTTTTCATTTAATTTGCTAAGACTCAAGGGCTTCCTAGAATCAATATTGGGGTCTTTACTCTGGAAAATTCTCAGCCATGATCTCTTTGGATAGTGCCTCTTCCCCATTCTAATTATCTCCTTCTGGAACACAGATTAGGCAGAGGCTAACCTCTCACATCCAAAATAATAGTTACTAATCACAGGTGGTTATTTGGGACACTCCCATCAACAGAGAAGATTTTACTGGACAGCATTGGCAGAGATCATCATTCTATTCCTGTTTTCTTTTAACCGTCCCTTCATATTTTCCAAATACTTTTCTCACAGGACCACAGACTGAATAATTCGCTTAATCTTCAGGTTCAAAATTTGTCAGTTTCTTGAGCCTGCTTCATCAGTTTTTAAACTTCAACTATATATATATATGTTGTTGCTCACATACACTCATATATGAGGCAAAACATATCAATCTTTTTCTTGAACAGGGTTTGTTAAGGATTGAATTGTGTCCCCCTCCCCAAATTTAAATGCTGAATTCCTCACCATGGTACCTCAGAATGTGATGTTATTTGGATACAAGGTCTTTATAGAGGTAACCAAGTTAAAGCTGAGGTCATTAGGGTGGGTCCTAATCCAGTATGACTGCTGTCCTTATGCAGAGAGGAAACTTGGGCACCGACACGTGCACACCGTATAATGATGGAGGTAGAAATCAGGGCGATGCACCTACAAGCTGAGGCGCACTAACCCGCAGACTCCAGGAGAGGCCCGGAGCAGATTCTAAGACCTCACAGTCCTCAGAAGAGAGCAACTCTCTCCACATCTTGACCTCAGACTTGCAAAGCTGTGAGACCATACATTGCTGTTGTCCAAGCCCCCCAACCTGTGGTCCTTTGTTGGGCCAGCCCTAACAAACTCAAATTCTACATAACATCTTCTAGGACAGACAGCCCACCGGGGTCTGCTCTGTGGAGCTAGTTCAGACCACATGTTCTTTAACAGTCTGGAGGAACCTGGAGGGGCAAGAGGGTCCACTGCCACCTTCTGCAGCATCCCCAGAATTGGGTAACATCCTCTTCTATTAAAATTCAGTTTCCCCGAGAGGTCGTGGAATACCATCAATTATTCTCCTTCTGAGTGCTCTCTGCCTGAAAAAGCACGATGTTCTTATTGACACTGCACTTAAAAAAATGTTCTGAAGTAAATCTGCAGAACACTCTGGCTCTTCAGATCCGGAAACTGGTTAACCAGTAAGGATATAAAGACACAGAGAGATGTTTTGGCAAGGTCACAGAACAGTTTGTGCCAGAGATTAGAACAGAATCAACGCTCTGTTGCAGCATATTGGCCAAGGGCCCGGATAACCTCCAACGATTGACTTTGTCAGTCCCTGGGGTTATTGGCCAGTGGTAGGATCTTTAGACCTGGAAGCTCCTATCATCCTGTCCAGTCCAATAGAGCCCACTTTCAGTCTCTCACAAGTCAAAAAGATAAAGATAATGGGTTACCCCAAAATTCACCTAGCAAGGACCCTAAATCACATAGAGTGATAGAGATTCGCTAGCACCTCAGGCCTTCTGGCAGAGTAAATGGAATATGTCCAGAACCAGACTCAACTTTCCTAAAGAAATGAGACAGACCTTTGCTCTGCTGTCTTTATGGGTGCCCCTTCCATTTCTCTTGGCAACCTTCCTCCCTTTCACTCCACCCCATCCATGCTCTAATATTAGCTGCAAAGGGGATGCCAACGCTCCAGAGAATCCTGAACCAAAAAGCTTTGGATGGGAAGAGGGTATAACTAAACATTATCACACATTATTCACTAAGAATTCACCTCAACACCACATGTCACAGGGCTGCCCGGCACATACGCCCCCGCCTCTGGATTCTGAGCTCTGGCATCACCTCTTCTCCACCTGAACTCCCCCCGGCCTCAATCTAGACCCTCTCAGCCCAGAGTGAAGGTAGAGGAAACATGCTGGTTGCACTGTGGTCCTCTCAATCCCTTGATGCCATTCCTTCTTCCTCTTCCACAGTGCTGATGCCAGAACAGCCTCCAAACCAGTGCTGCCCAAGAGGGAGACGTCACAAGCCACGAAGACAGACCACAGAGAGGATTTTAAACTTAGTAGCCCCTTTAAAAATATAAAAAAGAAATAGCTGAAATCAATTTTAATAAGGTGTTCTTTTTAATTCATTATATCAAAAATATCATTTCAAAATGTAACTGGTACAAAAAGTTATTAATGGGATATTTATCTGTTTTGGGTTACATCTTCGAATTTTGGTGTGTATTTTACACTCACAGAACATTCAGTTTGGATGACCCAGATTTCAGGAAGAGAATGTGTTCTGTCCAGTGGCTACCATATTGAGCAGTGCTGGTCTAAGAGTTTCAACTGATCTGTTATAGCTTGGAGTCTTGGGAAGGGTGTGATTTTAGAGGACAGATGTTTCCTCTCATATATCTTTTATTTTTTCAGTGGGGCCCATTAAAATGCCAATAAATTCTTCTTTCTTCCAATAAATCCTTACTGATCCCAATTCCCTGTCTCTATATATCCAGTTGTCTGCCTGAAAGGACCCCCTCTCCCTTCCCCTTTCCCTATATGCCTCAAAGGCACCTATTTTTTTTTTTTTTTCTTCTTTGCTTCAAAAGGTTCTTCAGTGAACCAAAGCTGAAATGAATGTGGCCTCCCTGAATGTTCATGGAAGGTCTGCTTTTTCCACTGTTATTATATATAGTATGGGCTTTCCCTGGTGGCTCAGCGGTAAAGAACCTGCCTGCTAATGCAGGAGACGCGGGTTTGATCCCTGGGTGGGGAAGATCCCCTGGAGGAGGAAATGGCAACCCACTCCAGCATTCTTGTCTGGGAAATCCCATGGATAGATGAGCCTGGTAGGCCACAGTTCATGGGGTCACAAAGAGTCGGACACAACTTAACAAATGAGCATGCACACACATACAGTACACTGCACGGCATTTACTTGAGAACAGTCTGTCTTTCTTAAGAGACAGAATTACATTAAAAAGAAGGGATGTGCCTTCTCTCTTGTGTTCTCCATATTTAACACAGGAACCCACACATGGTCGCTCTTAGCATGGCAGCTTGGTTCCCTGGGCAGTGGATGGTCTGAGAAAGAAAGAAAATGTGAGCAAGCACCCAAGACAAGAGCCAAGGTGTCTTTCAGAACTTGACCTTGGAAGTGACACGCCATCACCTCTGCCATATTCTCTTGATCACACAGATCACCCCTGGCCCGGTGTGGGAGGAGACTACACAGGTGTGAGTACCTGGAGGTGGGCATCCTTGGGAGCCATCATGAAGGATGGTGAGCAATGGAATACACCACTGCTAGACAATGGAAACCCTGAATTCAGGCCTTGATGGCACATAAGTCACTGATCTTAAGAACCTTTGCAACCAGCAAAGCCCAGCCCTTCCTGGTCTCCTGTCACACTGACGCTGCGGCTCAGTGTCTGTGCTATTCAATCACTTCTTGCCTGCTTCAGCGGGACCTCACATGAGTCCACCCCAGCAAGGCGGCCCTGAAGTCTGGTGAGTCAGCAACCACAACGAATGATGTGTAAGTGGACCTTGCTATGGATAAATATAGTTCCATTTACTGTGACGAATGAATTCCTTTGTCCAGGTTTGTTCACATTTTTGAAGATTTGGAAGAAATTTTGAAAGTGGAACCTATAACATCAAGGCTTTCTGCCGTTGAAAGCAATTAACCACACAGCAGTTGTAAACAAATGTAAAAAAAAAACCCAGCTGTTTCACAAAAATACTGAAATTTATTTCAATGAAGGCAACAAGATTAGTTAATAACAGTATTAATAAGTTCAAATGTTATGTTTTAAATTTTAATGTTTTCACGGACCTATTAAAGACTTGGTAGGCAAATGTGGAGTGAATTTCCCAAAAACCGCAAAGCAAAACAGTTTTGTCACCCTATTGATAAATAAAAAAGAGTAAACAGGGCTTCCCTGGTGGCTCAGTGGTAAAGAATCTGCCTGACAGTACAAGAGACACAGGTTCGATCCCTGATCCAAGAAGATTCCACGTGCCTCAGAGTAAGCCTGTGTAGCACAACTATTGAACCAGTGCTCTAGAGCCCATGTGCTACAGCTACTGAAGCCCACACACCCTAGAGTCTGTGCTCCAGAACAAGAGAGCCCACTGCAATGAGAAACCCGCACACAGCAAGAGAGAAAACAGCCCACACGGCAGTGAAGGTCCAGCACAGCCCTAAATAAATAAATAAAATTAGTTTTTAAAAAGAGTGAACAGGCATAATGTCCGCATGAAAGTGTACCACAGTGAATCTTCAAATGTAAATTATTAAATACACGAACATAATGAGGTACCTGAGGCCTCTGGGTCCCCCAGGTCCATACTGGGGACACTACTGGTTTGCCTACCCTAATTTTAAACAAATGTTTAAAACAATGTTTGACCACGGCTAGTGTGTAGTAAAACATGCATGTACAAAAATTTAAAGCATGAGATTAGAAAATAAAGAGAGATCCCAGTTTTTAAAATATCCATACCACCCTGTGAGGCTCACACTGAAGACCATCGCCTTAGACAAAGCCATCCCGCACGTGTGTACTTGGACTTGCCTGTGGGACATGGCTGGCTCCTGAAACTGGGACAGAGGGGTGGCAGAGGGTGATTGACCCCCAGCTCTCATCTGAATTTAGACATCTTTGTAAGAACTCAGTAGAGGGAAAAGTGGATTGAACTCTAATATCCCTTGGGTTTCTAGAATACAGAAGCATGGTTGGTGAGGCTTCCCAGGTGGCGTTAATGGTAAAGAACCCACCTGCCAATGCAAGAGATGGAAGAGACATGGGTTCAATCCCTGGGTCAGGAAGATCCCCTGGAGGAGGGCATGCAACCCACTGCAGTATTCTTGCCTGGAGAATCCCATGGACAGAGGAGCCTGGAAGGCTACAGTCCATGGGGTTGCACAGAGCCAGACACGACTGAAGCGACTTAGCACACATGCCCTGGAGCAGAGTAGCAGTCCTGGGTGGAGGCTGGTGGAAAGAGGGAACAGTAGGTCTCAGAGAGGAAACTGACTTGAAAGGGCTAGAATGTGAGCGAGGAGGCTGGGTGCTGGGATGGAGGTGGAAATGTGAGTGGATGCAGCTGATTACATCAACTCCGGGCAAATTTACTGTGAACCTCTTGCTATTACAATGCAGAGCTGGGCAGGGCGTGCGAGGAGGGGAGTCATTCTCTCTCTTACCCTGGAGAACTTGTCTGGAGAGATTTACAAGGGTCTCCAGAGAGGGGCTGGAGGTCTCTGCCCCATCCCAACAGGTCTATTAGGGCCTGAGCTGGAAAGTCAAAGCTCAGCCATACCAGGTTAAGAGGTAAGTGGAACATCCAGTTCCATCCCAACACCAGAACTTGTCTCTTACTTCTGAAGGGCGGCTGATATGGGACTCAGGGAGCTGCACCATTTTCTCTGCTCCTGGGAGTGGAGGGGGACTGTTTTCACCAACAATGTTACCTCTAACTGCACTGCAGTGGGAAAAAATAGTCCAGCTTGAGAGTGACCACCTAATGGAAATTCCCAGCTCGAGACTATTGTGTGGTCCTGGCTTGGGCAGCAATGGATTTACAAATGACCAGAACTGATTTCCAGACACATGTGAATACCCCTAGGGATTCTTAGAAAAAACTGAGAAAAGAATCCTGGAAGCAACTCATTTTTCTACAGCCAGGAAGGGTATGTTTATAACCCTGGTTTCCCTTGTACGAGCAGGCGAGTAGGAATGCAGCAGGAACTGAGGGGTAGGTTCCTGTCAAGCACCCGGACTGTCCTTCTAGTGCCACCAGATGAAGTCTGAAGACAGGGCCGTGAAAATGGACCAACAAATTCTGGCCACCTCACCAGATATTCTCCTCCTCGACAGAATAAATAATGTAAGGGCAGCTAGTACAATAGCTTTCATTTTAGAGCAGCACAAAAACATCTGTAGGGGAAATAAACAATCCCTTGCCTTTGGCCTAAGAGTTGGACCGAGTGAGGATGGAAACCAAGTAATCAAGCTGCCGGCTGGGAGGCGCTGACACTCCCATTCTTCTCTCGCTGCCGGAACTTCACTAAAATACAGGCAAGAAATAAAAAGTGGCTCCAAGCCACGTGGCCAAAGAGACCTGAAGAGGAGACGACAGCACACAGCTGATGTCAACAAAAATTGAGAGCCAAAAGGTAGATTGCAGCTGATTTAGAAGCCCAGGGAGAGCTGAAACGTAAACTTGTAGCAGAGAAGGCCAAAGAAAACTGTTTCCCCTAGAGGATCTTGGAGAAACCCAGCTCTTTGAGTTCCGGCCCCCTCAGAAGGCGAGGAAAATAGGAGCACTAGTTGGAAGAGTTTGTTAAGTAGCACCGAGATCCCCAGATTCTGTCCCTGATTTTGTGCCGTCACGTGACTCTCCCCCTCCCCTCCATGCCCCCTGAAGACTAGAATTTTAGAGAAGTAGACTTTGACTTCCAAAGTCAAAAAGTAAACCGTCCTCAGAACAGTTGAGGGCAGACTGAGGGACTTACTGCAAAAGGCAATTTCAGTGAAAGTCTGTACCCTGGACACTGAGGCCTCCAACTTTTCCTCCATCTTGATGAGGAGATGATTAGCAGCGAATGCAGAAGCTTAGAGTTGAGTTGTCCAATATGGTAGCCACTAGTCAAAATAGGTAGTGGTTGTTTAAGCTTAAATTAGGTAAAATTAAACAAAATTTAAGATCCACTTTCCCAGCCATACCAGCCACTTTGCTAGTACTGAATAGCCACATGTGACTACAGGCCACCATATTGGATGGTGCAGATAGTGAACATTTCCATCACCACACAAGTTGGTCAGCATTGGATTAGATAATTCCTCTGGGGAAACTGACCAGACTGATAGGAAAAAACCTACAGAGACTGACAATTGTTTATTACTTGGAGTGAAACCCAAGGGTTAACAAGCGCCATTCACGCAAACAGAGCTTTCTATCATAAATTTGGTGACTCATCCTTAAACATAGATGGCAAATCTGAATGATCTAAAATTTTAAGTAAGTCCTAACCATAGGAGACAAAAGGAGATAACAGAAAATATGCTGCATCCTTGAAAGAAAAATAGGAAAGTATATAAATGCATGCTTAGTTGCTAAGTCATGTCTGACTCTGTAAAACCCCTTGGATTGTAGACTGCCAGGCTCCTCTCTCCATGGGATTTCCCAGGCAAGAATACTGGAGTGGGTTGCCATTTCCTCCTCCAGGGGATCTTCCCGACCCAGGGATCGAACCTGCATATCCTGCATTGTCAGGCAGATTCTTTACTGCTGAGCCACCAAAGGAAGCCCATTATCAAAATATGATAGGCAGATAAAAATGGAATGGATTAGGTGGCAAAGTCTCTTGGAGTGCCAAACAAAAAAAAAAAGTTTAGAGATAAAAAGAGAAGCTCAAGATAATTAATATATCTGTCCATGAGATTCATCTTTCAACTAAAAGGATTTCCAGCAAAAGAGAAATGGAAATAAAGGGGAGGAAGAAAATCATCAAAAGAACAATAAAAAGAAATTCTCAGAACTTTTCAGATGGAAGGGGCCACTGAGTGTATAGCACTCTGAGTAAGACAAAATAAACATGTACCAAAGCACATCATGACATTTTGAAAACTGGAGATAAAGAGCAGACATCTGGGTCTTCCTGAGAGCAAACGAGTCCCATACAAAGGATCAGGCGTCAGGATCACACTCATGTCATCAAAAGTGACCGTGAGAGCTGTAAGACAGAACTGTACCTCTAAAGTGCTAAGAAAAATGACTGTCAACCTCAAATTCTACACCCAAGGGTGAGGGTGGAATAAAGATATTTTCAAACTTGCAGTGAATTCAAAATTTACTTCCTGTGTCAGTTAGAGTGGAAAACAGTGGGCTCACTCAGACTGGGGAGAATTCACTGTTTACCGGGGAAGCCAACTAGGAATGGTGAGGTGCCCCATGGCTGCCCAGAGTGGGGAGCTCTCACAAAGCTGAGTTCCCCAAACTGGAGAGAGCTGCAGTCACAGGAGACAGCCACTGACAGAGGCGATGGCCACCACCAACTCACAGCTCAAAAAGAA